GCTCGCGCAGTAGGAAGCCGTTCAGCGTAGGTTTCTATGCGCTGCCCTCGCTGGAACAGGCTGCTGGTCAGGCAGTAGGAGGCCGCCGATTGCCCTGGCCGATGGTTTCGTTCCGCTCTCTGCACGTTGTCTTCGGCCAGTCCGGGGGATCGGTGGCCGAGTGGTCTAGCGCACACCAGCTCGGAGCACGTGGAGCGAAAGCTCGCGCTGCAGAACCCAGGGATCCTGGGTTCGAGCCTACCCCTGCCCGTTTCGATCTGGATGAGCATCTTACCGGCGTGCGGTCGTGTATCACTACTGCGTGATGCACGTTAAAGACCCCAGGCTAGCGGCTGTACCGCACTGGCTAAATTTCTCATCTACAGCTGGGAGACTCGTCGCCCCTGTGAGGTAGACCAAGTTCTAGGCTGTATAAACACACACACAACCCAATTTTTTCGGCCAGTCCCTTTCACGCGCTGTCTGCACGCACTCCCAAAACTTCCCTTCTTCGTCATCTTCCTTTCTCCCTCTTGGCCGATCCATGGGTTGACTTGCACTTCTTCTTTTCCACATTGAGTCACATCATCACACCCCGCTTTGTACAGATGTGCTCGCTCCAGGCTCATGAGGCGCTGAAACGTCATCGAAGGTAGCAGAGGGGCTGGTGGTGGAACAACGGAGACCTCTCCCTGCCTTTCTCATGGTGTCAGTGAGCGTGTACTTCTATACTCTAACTTAGCTTAACCTGGACAGAGCTTAATGGAATAGGCTTGGCGAGTGCCCTTACAGCATATGCGTTTGTACAGCTGAAACACTTCCTGAATAAAAAACATTGTGTATCTTACCTTCAAAAAGTGAAAGCCGTTTACAACTCCCTGTAACGCCGAATTAGAGCGCAGCTCTTGAGGAGGAGGAGGGAAGGGTACTGGGGGGGGGGGGGTCAAGTGACCTTGGGTGGGGATCACGTGACCTAGGGGGTCACGTGACGATGCCGATGACGTCATCAGTAACGATGACGATGCGGATACCAATGACGTCATCAGTGACATCACTGATGACATCATCAGTGATGATGACGATGACGATGCGGATGCCGGTGACGTCATCAGTGACGTCACTGATGACGTCATCAGCGATGATGACGATGCGGATGGTGATGATGACGATGACGATGCGGATGCCGGTGACGTCATCAGTGACGTCACTGATGACGTCATCAGAGATGATGACGATGCGGATGCCAGTGACGTCATCAGTGATGTTGACGATAACGATGCGGATGCCGGTGACGTCATCAGTGACGTCACTGATGACGTCATCACTGATGATGACGCTGACGATGCGGATGCCGGTGACGTCATTAGTTACGTCACTGATGACGTCATCAGCGATGATGACGATGACGATGCAGATGGTGATGATGACGATGACGATGCGGATGCCGGTGACGTCATCAGTGACGTCACTGATGACGTCATCAGCGATGATGACGATGACGATGCGGATGGTGATGATGACGATGACGATGCTGATGCCGGTGACGCCATCAGTGACGTCAGTGATGACGTCATCAGTGATGATGACAATGACGATGCGGATGCCGGTGACGTCATCAGTGATGATGACGATGCGGATGCCGGCGACGTCATCAGTGACGTCACTGATGACGTCATCATTGATGATGACGCTGACGATGCGGATGCCGGTGGCGTCATCAGTGACGTCACTAATGACGTCATCGGGGGTCACGTGACCCCGGGGGTCACGTGACTTGGGGAGCCAGGTGACTTTGGGTGTCACGTGACCTTGGGGGTCACGTGACCCTGGGGGAGGGGTCACGTGACCTTGGAGTGACCTTGGGTATCACGTGACCTTGGGGTCACGTGACCCTTGGGGAGGGGTCACGTGACCTTGGGTGACCTTGGGGTCACGTGACCTTGGGATAACCTTGGGGATCAAGTGACCTTGGGATGACCTTGGTTACGCCGACGGCGACGGCGACGCCGACGGCGACGCCGCTCAAGCCGGGAACGGGCCCCTAAGAGCTGCGCTCTAAAACACATGATTTTGGGGGTGGAAAAGGAATTCTAAGGCATGTTTTAGAGCGCAGCTCTTAGGGGCCCGTTCCCGGCTTGAGCGGCGTCGCCGTCGCCGTCGCCATCGCCGTCGGCGTAACCAAGGTCATCCCAAGGTCACGTGACCCCTCCAGGTCACGTGACCCCTCCCAAGGTCATCTCAAGGTCACGTGACCCCACGTGACTCCCAAGGTCACGTGACCCCTCGAGGTCACGTGACCCCTCCCAAGCTCATCTCAAGGTCACGTGACCCCAAGACCCCACGTGACCCTTTGAAGGTCTCGTGACCCCCAAGTCACGTGACCCCCGAGGTCACGTGGTCTCCTCCCCAAGGTCACGTGACCCCTCCCAAGGTCATCTCAAGGTCACGTGACCCCAAGGTGACCCCCACGTGACCCCCAGGTCACGTGACCCCTCTGAGGTCACGTGACCCCCGAGGTCACGTGACCCCCCTCCCCGAAGTCACGTGACACCCCCCCCCCCCCCCGAGGTCACGTGACCGCCCCCCCGGAGCATAGTAAAGAATGAGGGGAGGAGGAGGGGTCTACCCTCCCCTCAGTACCCTTCACTCCTCCTCCTCAAGAGCTGCGCTCCAATTCGGCGTTACAGGGATTTGTAAACGGCTTTCACTTTTTTGGTTTGTATTGTCAAAATGTGCACGCCGCGAGCACGCCGCGAGCACGCCGCGTCGCGAGCGCGCGAGCGGCCCCGACCAGCGGCCTATCCAAGCCTAGCCTACTGACGGGTGACAGTTCAAGTTCGTCGCGCTCTTTGCTCGTGGGTTCCAAGTGAAACCAACGCACTTTCAATCGCCTCGAAAGGTACGTACGTATACACGACTTTATTGCTTGCAGTGCTGAGTGCTTTGGTATACAGAGATCAAAGTAAGCACCGAAGGACAGAAAGTAGACATAAAGTTTTGAAATCGCAACTTATTTGAAGGGTGAGACTCTCTTGCCGGCAGCCGGCAAAATAGCCCGGGGAAAAAAATGCCGGCAGTTTCGGACGGCGCGTGTATCACTGGGGAGCTCGTTAACACATCCCCCCGCCTCCGTTCATGCCGCTTCGCGGCGACGGTCTGCGGCTGCTCATTAGAAAAATATTGACCCAATTGGCCTACCGGTACACGCCGCTTTGCGGCGACCCGCCAGCGGCCCAAGCCCCGCTGTCCTCCATTCACCTCCGGAAAGGGTGTCCGTAGCGAAGTTTCGTCGACAACATTCGTTTGATTTATTTACTTTCCTATTTTTAGTGTTAATCTTAAAAAAAAAGAAGATATGTCGTAAATATCGCCAAATGTCTCTTCAAAAGAAAACAAACTTAAAAAAAAAAAAAATAATAAGGACACGGTGGACCGAACCAGGGACCCGCTGCGTACGAAGCAAGCACCTTACATCTAAGCTACCCTGCACCTTCGAACAGCCGTGTTCAGATTTCGTTTTATACGAGACCCAATGGGGCAGAACTGCCGCCACTTTTTTTCCCCGGCTATTGTGCCGGCTGCCGGCAGAATATCCATTTCCTTATTTGAACGCTCGTGTCCCCTGTTGAAAGCCTCTAGCTGTGCTCTTAAGGAGATTCAGCCTCCAGCGCCCTTGCTTCGAGCGTGCTTGCCGCCGCAAAGCGTTCGACGCATTGGATTCGCGGGCTCGTTCGAAGAGGCGTTGTTTGAAGGTGACAAGTCGCCTAAGTGTTACCGGAGCATCTTTTTACGAAAGTCGCGATCCACGTTCTGCTGTGAGCTCGTAATTTTTTCTTCTCGGGTAGACCATGAGTGCCGAGCTCTGATCTGTGGTGCCGACTGGCGCCGAACGAAGTTGGGAAACGTTAGCTAGTGAGTCAGATTTTCGTGACGCCGCCCAACTTGCCCAGCTATCGGCTGCGCAAAACAAAAAATGTCAAAAACAAAAAGAACCGCGTTTTTTTTTATCTTTTCGTTGGCCATGTTTCACCTCCATCAACGCAAAGTGAATCGCGGCTGTACTATCGGGGAAAAATTGAATGCAAACAGAGGAGCGCGTGGCTCGCGGTGCAGGCTGCGCCGCCTGGAAGTGAATCTAGGGGCGAGAGTGCGTGGCCTACTTCGATGTGTTCACGCCCCTTGATTGGCGCTCCCCAGCTTCGGCAGTGCGGCTCTCAGTGCGCTGAAAGCTGTCACCGCTATCTTTGCCTGCTCGGCGAGTGCGGCGAGCTTCTTTGCACCGACGCGCTGAGCCAGCAAAGATAGTGGTGAAAGCTTTCAGCGTACTAAGAGGCGCACTGCTGAAGCTTGGGGAGCGCAGAGGAAGGGTCGTGAACACGTCGGAGTAGGCCACGCACCCTCGCTCCTAGGCTCACTTCCAGGCGGCGCAGCCTGTACCGCGAGCCACGCGCTCCTCTGTTCGCATTTCATTTTTCCCCGACAGTAGGTCGGTTGACTCATTAGTGTGCCTAGATTGTAGATTGTCTCACTACAATGGAGTCTGTTGGGTGTGATCTTATTCTGATATTGGTATGTCTTGCTTTTTGATCTTGCTGCACACTTCTAGACGACCTTCTACACATTGCACTCCTTGTCGACATGTCGCTGGTGCTTGAGAATAATTGGAAGTCATTGTTTGCTCATCCTTGGTGCGCATATTTCATGTTCAACATCAGGTATTTGAAGGAGGCACCATGAAACCCTGGAATTTTTTCAGAGGTACCTCAACATACTGTATTAAAGTGCCGTTTCGTGTATCGTAGTTTCGTACAAAACCAAATTGCACTTTGTTATATACCCTAAAACAGTTCACTACAATTAAAGTTCCAATGAAACATTGGCCACGAGAGACGACTCGGCCAACGTGGCCGAAGAATTCCTCGCATAATTTTCCCCATGGGTCATTTTGGATGTTGACAAATTTTCTTGTGAATAATGAGTTTTGTGCACATATGTTTCTTCTGCTTTTCGTGCAGGTACTTCAGTTAGATAAACCCCAGCAAAGGCAGCAAGACAGTCTTATGGGGTCACACCAAGGATAACGGCATTCCTGCTTGAGTCCCGAGTCTTTTCAACGAACTTCACTGAACACAAGTCCCGAGTCTTGTCACCGAACTTCACTGAACACAACTCCCGAGTTTTGTCACCGAACTTCACTGAACATAATGGTACATTCCCTTTCCTTAACGTTTCCCTCTGAAATGTGTTTTAGTTGTTGTTCTTCTTCTGTTTTTTTTTGTAAAAAGGGTAGTACAACGTTTAAACACCCGAACGTTCATAAATGGTCTCAGTACCAGACAATAGGGTGTCTTAGGCCCGCTTCAGACGGGGCAACTTTCCCAGCAATTTCGGGGTTGCTGCCGGGTTGTTCCCCAACTTTCCCTAGATCAACACGAATTCCTGAGATCTGGCCCGGCTCGAAACGGACGAGCAATTTGGACAACTTGGAGACGTTTGAAGCGGCAGCAGCCAATTAGGAATGTGGAATTTTCACGTCACACCCCTGTAATGGTGATGATGACAACTGAAAAGTTGGTTCTAATTTGAAATGGATCGTTTTTGGAAATAAACTGTTTCAAAAAGATGAGTTGGTATTCTCAGCACAATTGAATGATATAAAAACATGCTTTCTTGGATATAACTGTGCATATAAATAGTGCAAGAAAAATCAGATTGAATGATGATGGCAAGTCGTAGCAATTCGGTTGCTGCGTGTGAACCCGGGCTGCCCGTGTTGCTGGTGTTGCGACGTCAAGTTACTGGGTGAAATTTCCCCGTCTGAATGATGATCATGGCAAGTCGTAGCAATTCGGTTGCTGCGTGTGAACCCGGGCTGCCCGTGTTGCTGGTGTTTCGACGTCAAGTTACTGGGTGAAATTTCCCCGTCTGAAGCTCCAGCCGGGAAAATTGCTGCGTTCACACGCAGCAACCGAATTGCTACGACTTGCCATCATCATCATTCAAACAGCAAAATTTCACCCAGTAACTTGACGTCGCAGCACCAGCGACACGCCTGCAGCAAGAGCAATTTCACCCAGTAACTTGACATCGCAACACCAGAGTCGCAGCCCGCGTTCACACGCAGCAACCGAATTGCTACAACTTGCCATCATCATCATTCAGACGGGGAAATTTCACCCAGTAACTTGACGTCGCAACGCCCGCGTTCACACGCAGCAACCGAATTGCTACGACTTGCCATCATCATCATTCAATTCGATTTTTCTTGCCCTATTTAGACGCAGAACTGCGCGTTAAAAACGTGTTTTTATATCTTTGAATCGCGTTGAGAATACTAACTCATCTTTCTGAAAAGGTTTATTGCCAAGAACAATCCATTTCAAATTAGAACCAAGTCTTTAGCTGTCATCATCACCACCAAAGGGGTGTCACGTGAAAATATCACGTTCCTGACTGGCTGCTGCCGCTTCAAACGTCTCAGAGTTGTTCGAGTCACTCGTCCGTTTCAAGCCGAACCCGATCTCAGGAATTCGTGTTGATCTAGGGAAATCTAGAGAAGAACCCACCAGCAACCTGGAAATTGCTGGAAAAGTTGCCCCGTTTGAAGCGGGCCTTAGGGAACTGTAATCAAAGGTAGTGGACCTCTAATTGCAAGCCCACCTGGAGACGTGATTTTTTTGCCTTTTTAGTACATTTATATTTACACTTTTCTTTAAATTTTAACGTATAGACACATAATCTACACACTAATTCACATTCAGAAGCGCCTTTATTTGCACTCTGTGGCTCCCTGGTGCTTGCAATAGCTTCTTGGTGACTGCAGTTGTTATTTCAAGCTCTGCAAAGGGAGGGGTATCTTCCCGCCCTTTACAGGCTGTAAAGCTGTGGCTTGCACAGCTCTAGCACGTCGCACTTCGCTCACTGGCTCAATCACAATGTATAGGTGCTGTATGCGTCGCGCCACACGGCAAGGGGGTATACGGTCGGGTCACAGAACCTGGGACCATTAGTCACTGCACTCAGGTATGGTATGGCCGCATGGTCGGGGCATGAACCAGAACTTGGAAATGCTGATCTTCATCACATTTGAAACAGATTTTGTATTACCTTTGTGTCGAGTTGTCCGCATTTTAAGGGCGCAAAAGCAAGCAGCAGCGAGAGCAAAAAAAGAAAAAATGGAAAGCCGCTCTTACTGAGAATCTATTACAAGCACTAGGAAGCCGCGGAGTATCATTAAAATGCTTCTAAAGGTGAATTCGCGTATACATTGTGTGTTTCTGCCTCAAAAATCGAAAAAAATTTAAATATAATTAATAAGGACAAAAATATACACCAGGAGGACTTAAACCAGAAGGATACATTCTGTAAGTTTGAAATTGGACACCTTAAACCACTCGGCTACCGTCCAATTTCATTTCCAGGTCGTTTATCGAGGTATATGAATTTCGTTTGCAACTGCGGGCTGCAAGAGAGATTGCCTTATTTCATTTGCTTTACTATTCTTACCAAATACGACGAGTGACCAAGAATAAAACCTTATTTGTCGGCCGAGGCACTGTGCATGCATCAAGGCACGCTAGCCTGTCTTGCTGGGCTTATATTTTATTTCATCACCCGTGTAGGATTCTGTTGTCGCTCATCAAAAGAAAAAAAAAACTGTGACTAAGTCTGACTTGTTCTGGTGTGCAGGTACCCTTGGCAATTACCTCTGCTAAATGAGGCAAAATATATATTATACTTTTTTAGCAAATAAGCATTGTTTCAGCAAAATGAGCTACACTATTCGACTAAGGGGAAACAGAGAACGGGCCTCTCCAGCTGGGCCTGTTTTCATCTCTCACAAACACTATTTTCTTCTTTTTGTGGTCTGTATCAGACTTTTGTGTCTCTGTCCGGCCAAAGCATCTGTGTTAGACTAAGTCTGAGTTCTTTAGGATATGTGCAGGTATTCTTTGCAGCAAATGGCTGTCAATCAGGAACATGAGTTTGTTCTCAGCCACCAGGAGCAGGTATTTTCAAGGTGATCAACCTATTGCCCGTCTATGTGAGTTTTGTGTTCCATTCCTTTTGGATGGCATTTCCTATGTATAGTAGTCTTGGATTAGTATTTTGTTGTCTCTCATGCAAAAACACCCAGGTTTGACTACGACTGGGTCCAGGTTTGACTAAGATTGGGTCCTTGCTTATACATGCAGGTCTTGGAGGCAAGCACCAGGCAATCAAGGCCAGATGTTTGCTCTTTGCCACTCATGGCAAGTGTTTTCAAGGTGAGTGATTGATGATTATCTGAGTTGTGTGTTTCATTCCTCACAGAACCTCTATTTCCTGTCTTTATAGTGGTCTTCTGTCAGGATTTTGTGTGTCTGTCCAGCGAAAGCATCTGTATTAGACTGACTGGGTTCTTTCGGAAATGTGCAGCAATTCTTGGCATCAAGCGGCTGTTAATCAGGAACTGGAGTTTGCTCTCAGCCACCAAGGGCTTGTATATTCAAGGTGAGCAATTGCCCGCCTATGCGAGTTTTGTGTTCCATTCCTCTTGGATGCCATTTCTATGTATAGCGGTCTCGCATTAGTATTTTGTTGTCTCTCCTGCAAAAACACCCAAGTTTGACTAAGACTGGGTCCTTGCTTATACATGCAGGTCTTGGAGGCAAGCACCAGACAATCAAGGCCAGAAGTTTGCTCTTTTCCACTCATGGCAAGTGTTTTCAAGGTGAGTGATTGATGCCTTTTTGAGTTGTATGTTTCATTCCTCACAGACACTCTATTTCCTTTCTTTATAGTGGTCTTGTCTCGGATTTTTGCGTCTCTGTCCGGCCAAAGCATGTGTTAGACTAAGTCTGCGTTCTTTAGGATATGTGCAGGTACTCTTCGCAGCAAATGGCTGCCAATCAGAAACAAGCGTTTGTTCTCGGCCACCAAGAGCAAGTATTTTCAAGGTGAGCTATTTCTCGCCTATATTTTACTTATTTATTATTTATTTATTTGGTGATACTGCCAGCATTCTGTAGAACGCTCAGGCAGGAGGTGTACAAAAAAATTCAAAAAAGAAGCGGAAGTATGTATAGTACAAACAAACAGACAGAGCCACTACTCAACAAAGTACGAGAGTAGTGCTTCACTAAAATTATCTAATCTCAAATTTTCAACACTTTCAGGAAGCTTATTTCACTCACACGTGATTCTAGGAAAAGGATGCTTTGAACAAAGTTGTTCGATACAATGGTTCGACAAGTTTTAATTGGTGTTTGCCTCTCGTGGCCCTTGTTTCGTTAAATGAAGTGTAATCGCAGAGACGCAGTCGCAAATTACCCTGTATCATATTATAAAGAAACTTCAATCGTTCTGTTTTTCTCCAGGTTGCTAAATCATTCAATCCCGATCTTGGGTACAAATCTGAAACGGATGACCTAAAACCATAGCGGTTGTACACAAACCGCAATGTTTTTTTTTGCACAGTCTCTACCATATCAATTGACAGCTTTGTACGAGGGTCCCATACAATACATGCATATTCTAGCATTGGTCTTATGATGGTTTAGTAAGCAGTCAGTTTAGTTTCGGGTGAAAACAGGTTAATATTTCATTTTAAAAACCAGAGCTTCCGCATTGGTTTACGAGCTATGAACTCAATATGTGCACTCCATGACAAATCAGAGGTAATTAAAACTCCGAGGTATTGATATTGTTTAACAGTCTAGAGTGGTACTCCGTTGATAGAATATATAAAAAACAAAGGGTTGTTCTTCTGCGACACAGCCATTTTAACACACTTTTTACAGTTCAGAACCATATTCCATTTTATGCACAATGCATGAACCAAAGATAGACAATAATTTAATTCTTAATTTAGTAAATAAAACACAATCGTCAGCAAAAAATTGGCTTTGTACATTGGGGTGGTGTACCTTTATATTGTTAATAAAAATTAAAAACAAAAGTGGCCCAAGGACCGAGCCCTGGGGCACGCCCGAGAACACGGGTGACTCGGGGGAAAAACAGAGTCAACACTAACACACTGCGTTTTGTGTTTCATTCCTCTTGGATGCCATTTCTTATGTGTAGAGGTCTTGCATTAGTATTTTGTTGTCTCTTCTGCAAAAACACCCAAGTTTATTTAAGACCGGGTTCTTTCCTCTACATGCAGGTCTTAATGGCAAGCACCAGCCAATCAAGGCCAGAAGTTTGCTCTTTGCCGCTCATCGCAATTGTTTTCAAGGTAAATGATTGATGCCTATATGAGTTGTGTGTTTTATTCCTCACAGACACTCTATTTCCTGTCTTTATAGTGGTCTTGTGTCAGGCTTTTGTGGCTCTCCGGCCAAAGCATCTGTATTAGACTAAGACTGGGTTCTTTATATAAAGTGCAGGTATTCTTCGCAGCAAATGGCTGCCAATCAGAAATACGAGTTTGTTCTTGGCCACCAAGAGCAAGTATTTTCAAGGCGAGCTATTGCCTGCCTATATGAGTTTCAGCATTTGTCAAGGAGCTCAAAATCAATGCAAGGGGGTTGGCCATTGCAAAAAGTTTTACTCGGAAGCGCATAGGGAGGAAGCTTTACAAAAGTATCCACCTGCCTCTACAAGTGAAACCGAAACTAAAAACGTAAATTCCATTTAAAAAAAAAAAAAAAAACATTGTCAGCCCGGATTAACTCGGGGGCGGCACGGAGCAAACAAGCCACGGTACAAGTATGCTTGGTTCAGGCTTTTGTAGGGGTGGTCGATGGCTCCGTGTTTTTTAAAAAGTTATTTTTTTCTAAAACTGTGGTGGTCGAATATTCGGGGATGGGCATTCAGTCGGGATGTTTAGGTAAAAAATCCATCCACATGCCGGGATTCATGTGCCTCGTCGCCCCTAGCGAGGGGGACAAGGCCTTCAAAATTTTAGGTTCACAAAAGGGGTGCGTCAGTATTGACGTCTCATTTTACATCAGGCCTCTCATTTTAAAACTCACAATAAATAACATGCCTAAAATTTGTTTGGGTGTACTTCCTCCCAGCAAGTACGCGGTTCTGTCTCAAAAGGTCTAATCTGATGTTGACCGCACCTCAGGTCTCCACCGACGATTCATCAGGACGAGACCGAATTGGGACACAAGGGAGGAGCAGCTTAAGCAAGGAAGGCCACATATACGACAGCTTCTTGCGGACAAGAACCGAAAATAGATAGGCGGTGGGTGTTTTATTTGCTATGTTTTTTTGCATGCGCATTCAGTTTGTTATGATTGAAGATTCCTGCAGAGTTCAATTTCAACTATTGTAAAATACCGAGCATGCGCTCAGATCGCAGAAGCGCCTACCTTCTATTTCGAAACAATTTGCAAATAAGCAAAGGGCATACCAGATACCCATCCACCTGTTCTGAGCCATGCTCAAAATATTAAAAGAGCACATCAAGCGCCAGGTGCTGTGGCGTCTTTGCCACAATGGCGCCGGTTGCAGAGCTGAGAGACCCGTGAATGGCACAAGCCATGGCATGGCCTTTGGAAACGAGAGAATCGAGATTAAAGAAGTAGCGCAGAAATTGGAGGCGAGTGGTGAAGGTGAGCAGAGTTAACAGAAAACAAGGATGAAGGGAGTTCGTCGCATGAGGCATCTATGCCCCGTGCTTGTAATTTTGAGTGTGCTGTAGTTGGCTACTCAAAACCATTGTTTTTTGGAGGTAACTAATCGCAAATCTCTTGCAGTTTCCACGGCCCACAAGCCAGCAGGCGCCAGTTCGTTCTTGTCCACAGGTGAGGATTCTAGGTTTTCTAGATTGCTCTGAAGCAGCAATACTGAAGCCAGACAAGTGGTGCGGCATATTTAATTGACAGAACTCTTAACAACTGGGGACGCTTTCACTGAGGCTGGTTTTGCTGCAATACACGCGTGTACTGCAGCAAAACAAGCTTCAGTGACAGCGTCCCCAGTCGTTCTGAGCTCCGTCAATTAAATATGCCGTACCGGTTGTCTGTCTGGCTTCAGTGTTGCTGTAGGCGGCAAAAAATGTGCCCAGTTTTGTCACAAGAGGCATATTATGTCATGCGCATGTAATTTTGAATTTATCCGGCTTAGTGTGCTGTAGGTGGCTGGTCGAAGAAATTGGTACTTGGACGCAACTAATCGCAAATCTTTCTGGCAGTTTCCACGACCTAAGAGCCAGCAGGTCCCAGTTTGCTTTTCCTCAGAGGTGAGAATTTCAGGTTCGCGAAGCAGGAATACTGAAGCCAGACGACCGGTACAGCATTTTTAATTGACGGAGCTCAGAACGACTGGAGGCTCCTGCATTGAGGCTTATTTTTCTGTAATACACGCGAGCGACATTGACGCGTGCCCAGTTACGTCGCAAGAGGTTATCTATGTCCCGCGCATGTAATTTTTGTAATCTTTCCGACTTAGTGTACTTTACGGGGCTACTCAGCGTAATTGCTACTTGAACGCAACTAATTGCTAATCTCTCTTCCAGTTTCTACGGCCCACAAGCAAGCAAGCACTGGTTCGTTTTTCCTCAAAGGTGAGCATTCCAGATACTCTAGTTAGGTGCGAAGCAGGAAATGTGAAGCCAGACGAGCGGATAGGTATATTTAATTGACCGAGCTCAGAATGACCCGTGGCAGTGGAATTGAAGCTTATTTTTCGGTAGTTAAACACACATTGTTTTTTAAATCTATCCGGCTTAGTGAAGGATTGCTCTTTGTTGCGAACTAATCACAAATTTTTATTTTGCAGTTTCCGTATGGCTACAGCTAGCAGGTGCTGTTTTCATTGAAAGGTGAGGATTTCACATTCTGTTTTCAAACATCAAGTTTTTGAATGAGGGTCCTAAACAATTACTTTCTTTTGCAGTAAATGCCAGATCCTCCAATTCAGGAATATGTTATATATATTTGGTATGGATAAGCCCAGTGTTTTGCTTCTTTATTCATAATTTGACAACAGCAACATTTTTTTATTTTATCACTCAGAAAAATTACACAAGAAAAATGTCGTGCTGAACGTGATATTGCAACTCGTATAGTTTTATTGGTAGCCGATATAATATATTGGTATCCAATATCCATAACACGCTAAGTACACTGGAATTATGAACCCTTATTGGATCGCCATAGAGACATGGAGATCCAATAAGGGTGTGGGTTCTTTTGAAAGCGAGGAGTCGCGAGCGCCGCAATATATTATATTTACATATTTACAAAAAGAAGTAAATCAACGTGAAGGTTGTTCGTCCGTAGGTAAGGCCCAACACTAGCTCAATCTCGTGCTATATATTTCTTGCGCGCCTCTTGCGCATCCCTGCGTCCTCTTCTTCCTTGTGACCGTAGATCCTACAGATACTCCCCCCTAGAGAGGAAGCGGCTTGACAAGCGTTGAGTTTTATGCTGTTTCTAGAAAACGAACTTTCTTTCGAACTCTGCTGCTCCTTGGGGGCACAGTGAGGAGATCCACGCTTGAGGAAGGTTCCGGAAATTCCTGGAATGCAGGCTTCAGTCGGTCGATAGACACTGTGTCTGTGCGACCATTGATAAGCAGAGTCATGTGCTTGGCGTCTCTGCGTAGAACTTCGTATGGTCCGTTGTATGGAGGTTGAAGTGATCGCTTTACTGCATCGTTCCGAATGAAGACGTGGGAAGATTTTGACAATGCTGGACTCACGAATATTGAAGATGGTTGTTTGGCTCTTGGGGGGCAGGGTCG